CGATGAACCTGCACTCCAAAGTCTCTTTGTTCAGCAATACTCCCCAGGACCTTACCACAATGAATGCAATTCATTCTCCGGTGTAAAATGTTTTAAAGGGTGTTTGTAGAGCCTAAAGTTTGACTAATGCTCGTGATTCACGATATTCAACAACTCTATTATTTATCATATTTATTAGTTATCACCAGGATAATGGAAGATAAACTAGATGGACCTCGATCTACTTTCACCCAACATCTCCTACATTCACAGAAAATGAAGCTTTTTCACAAAACTTAAAGGCAAAATTATAATTCATTAGAGTTTTTTGTATTAAAATAGGTCCACAACTTAAAAATCTTCCTTACTGTCCTGTTTTGACATCATAATTTATGATCGCTCTACCTTAGTTTGTACAGTTTTGGATTACTTGTTATATTGGTTAGACACTTGGCATGCGATTCTCGTATCTATCATGTTATTCCAGTTGTTTGGTTTGTCTCCTGCACCACCTTATTTTTAATTTTCTGTAGTTATCTCTCTGCCTCAGCTAATCAGATTATAAGTCATTCTTTCACTTGTTACTCAGCTGTTGACACTTTACTCACCATCTGACACTCAATCACCTGCAGAGACCAATTATTTGGCTTGTTGATACTCCACTCACACCATTTGTATCATCTTTTGATCTCTCTTGATTATAAAGTCTGTGCCTGGGTGCTCTCTTCACTTCACCTGATGAAGGGACAGTGTTCGAAAAGCTTATGATTTCAAATAAACATGTTAGACTATAACCTGGAGACTTCTGACATTGTCCACCCCAGTCCAACACCAGCACATCCACAATCTAAATTTGATCATGAGTGGCACTGTTATGGCAGCTACAGCTGTTGTACCAAAATTGATTATGGTGTCAATGTGGTTATTAAAAAAAAAGCAGGATTTAGCAACTCACAAACTGTACACTACTTTTAAAATGTTCACTTCGCATACTAGCGGAATCCACTGGCAACCCCAAGAAAGAGTGCAGTTGAAACCTCGGAATAAAATTCAGACTTGCCCAGCTGTTATTTAGTTTGTGTGTCAACTTCAACTTCCAGTCTGGAAAATCCGATGGCCTTTTTCTGGAGTTTTCACATACACGAGTTGAAATGTACTCAGCTTCAAATAACCTTGCCAAGGTTTTATCCAAAGACACCTAGTCTGGGACAATTAATAAACTCCTTTCTCAAAGATAATCTATCCTCTATCTTTTCCCTTTCTCAGGAGCACCGTTTTACATATCCATCTTCACCCAGACTTCTAGACAATTACCCCAATTGGTCACCAAGAAAAAAAATTTTAAATTTCCATGCAATGGGTGTTCCTACTGAATTTAAAATAAAAATCAAGTCCAGACTTTCTAATTGAAACCTTAATGCCCAATAGTTTACCTTGCTTGGTCTTATACTCTAATGCAAAAAGAAATCCATTAGTCTGGAGGCCATTTCTCTATCAAGTTGGTATAAAAGAAATCACCATGGCTACAGAAATACAAGTTAATTAATACTTCAGTCGCAGGAAAATCCAAGTCATTCATTCAAAATTCAAAAATACAAACTTAAAAATAAGTGATATCAAGAGAAAAATATGCTGTGGTTGGTTCACTCGCCTAGCTGGTTTGTTAGTTCGCAGACATTTCATCACCTTGCTGGGTAACATCATCAGTGCAGCTTCCGATGAAGCGCTGTTGTGTTTTCCCATCTGGTGCTTAAACTCTGGGGTCCATTGGAATTGGTTACCTCATTCCTGGTTTTTCTTCAGTGGTATACATATATACGGTCTAATTCTATGTGGTTATTGATGGCCTGCTTGGTGGAGAACCAAGCCTCTCAAAATTCCCGTGCTTGTCTCTGACCTGTTCTAGGATCCTGATGTTGTCCAAATTGAACTGGTGGTTCTACTTACCCGTGTGATGGAGACGAGTGAGTACTGGTCATGTCTTTTTGTTGCAAGTTGGTTTTCAGGTATTCTCGTGGCCAGTTTCCTTCCAGTCTGTCCAATGTAATGTTTATCACAGTCTTTGCATGGGTTGGTTCTATCCACAGTGGGTAAGGGGTCTTTGTTAGCAGTTAGCATAGGGTTGGCCTCGGTTTGTGCACCACTCTGATGCCCAATGGTTGTAGGAGTCTCGTGGTCAGTTCGGATATGTTCTTGGATGTATGGTAACGTGGCGGGTGTGTCAGGGCGTACTGTATCTTCCTGTGGTTTGTGTGATAGGCATCGTCGCACCCAGCTGTTCGGGTATCCATTGTCCTTAAATACTTGGTAGAGGTATTCTTCTTCGTTTTGGCGTAGTTCCAGGTTGCTGCAGTGTGTTGTCACTCGTTTAAATACCAGGCACGAAAACACATCAGCGCTTCATCGGAGACTGCACTGATGTTACCCAGCAGGGTAATGAAACATCTGAACTACCAAGCCAGCTCAGCAAGCTAACTAACCACAGCATCCACAACCCGAGCCACATATCTACTCAAGAACCTTAATATATATCACACACCATACTTTGCCCCCTCCAGAAAAATGAAAATTGATCTTTAAGAGGAATTTCCATTGCTTAAAAGTTGTCTTCACACCACTTCTGTCATACTAACAGTTCTAAAGTGTTGACAACGAATGCTACAGTAGCCTTGTCTTACCCATGCTCGTTGGTTCCACATCACTCAGTGTCTTGCACATGGTGTCAACTGAGGGCCCACTATATAATTTCCTTTCAAAGCACATAAACAGTTATCAAATTATATGGTTGGAGAACTTTGCTGTCATAATTGCTTATCCCCAAATGTTTCTAAAAAAGAAAAGGATTGTCGTCTGTAAAAATGATTGTTTCTTCCATGTTGTTGCTAACATATTTCAAAATGTTGAAAAGCCATCACAAGACAATGTTGCTTTTTGAATAATTGAACACTGTTTACATGTGGCCAGATTACAGCTAAAACCACTAAATGGTCAGAACAATCTTCAAATTTTCAAAGGCATTTTTCAAATTTTGTCTTTTTCTAACGAATTTGTCAAAAGGTGCAATGATAATGCTGAAGTTCAGAGCAAACTAGCAATAAAATCCACTCATACCAACATTAAGGCAAAAATTACACATTTTGCCCTGGGCACAGAAAAATCTAGAACAGCTGCAATGTCATTTCTCTCGGTCCAACTTGGCCTTGTCCCACAGTATGGCCCAAATAAGTCACCTTGGCCTTGACAAATTCACTCAGCTAAATTTATAACAAAGTTGGCTTTTTGCAGCTGACCAAACAGTTCAGTCCAACAGTGTAAACATTTTAGCCAGATCTGGCTAAAAAGAACCATATTGTTGATGTAAACAATATTACATAGTCCTTTAATTATTTTATTGAATTACTGCATTGTTGCTGGTGCATTTTTCATTCCAAATGGTATGAGTTCACACTGATAAAGTCCATCTGGTATTTAAATCTGTTAACAGAACCTGCCAGCACCCTTTTAGCAAGTCAATTTTTGTGACAGATCCTGTGTGTCCAATTTAATAAATACAGTCCAACAGTTCTGTTAGCACCTTGACTTTACGATAATCAATTTCAAATCTGTGACCCAGTTTAAGCATCATGATAGGTTAGGTTCAACTACAATGACTTGATTCAATCTTTTTTTTGCACACAATGAACTTAGTTTCTTTCCTCAATTGAGCTATTCTTTGAATTAAATCTGTATGGGTATTACTTTCTCAAATTCAGGGATTTCCTAAGATTCACACTTTAATTTTCTGGACTGAGTTCTATAATTGTTTGCATTCAAAATTAGATCCACAGGTTTACAATGAGTGAATGAATGATCTATTTTTTAAAAACTAAATTGTGCAACTTGCACTGGTGCGATATTGTAAATTTCAGAACTTTAACTGTTCATTGACCAAAAGAATCAGCAATAACCTTTTCTAAATGAACTATGTCCTCAGATAAAAAGACAAGGAATTAAAAGCAATATGTAAATTAACCATCTCTTGGGAAAAAGGAGTCAAAACTACATAAACTGCTTTAACATCTGCTTGATAACTAGTTGCCTTATGAAAAACGGACAATAAGATTCTCTACATAAATAATGTAGAGGTGAAGCAATTATCTGCAGGACAGACAGTGTTTCAAACAGGCAGCCAACACCGAATATAAACAAGGAACAGGCAAGCTACAGATTTGATGACCCCAGGAGTGTTGTGGATGAATAGGTGTAAAGGTTCATCAAGAATATCACATCAAACTTCATAAGACAGAAAATTCTGTAAGAATTCAACTTCACAATTCTTCGGCAGAATGCAGAGAACCACACTGCACAAGAATCAAACCCTGGACACCCAGAGACATATTCTGTTGGTTGGAATCGTAGTTATTTACCCAATTAATGGCAGAATTTAGCTAAGTTGGGTTGTGGGACTTAACTTGCTTACCTGAGGAGTCTTATTTTAGTTGCTACTTGCAATAAAGTTTAAATAATTGTTTCAGTATTTGTCTGCAAGATTTATTAATAGGTAGCCAAATTAAAAAGTTGTTTATGGTAATTTACACACAACAGCAGACTTCCCCCCCAGTCATTAACAATATAAATCTTGATCTCCCAGGGAATCGAGGATCATACAGAGCTGGCAGATATACAATACACTTCCTTCTGTTGGCAGATGATTCAATCAGGACTTTTGAAAGAATTTGATAAGCTCCTGAAGAGGAAAGATTTGCAGGGCAATATGGATAAGCCAAGCTGCTCTTGCAAAGCGAATACAAGTGAATGACCTTTATTGTGCTCTAAGCATCTCATGATTCAATAGTATGGGTGTTACGTCCAAGTTGCTCCCTGACTTTTTTTTTTTTTTTAAAATAAGACATGCAAGTCTTTCCACTTAAGATACAAGAAGGGACTAAGTATCTTACTAATACATTGCACAATGATACAAACATATGCTGTGAATGTTACACCATCATAAACCATCAATAAGTATAATTAACAATCCTTACTTGCTAAGTAGCTCAGCTCCTGCAGCAAACTTGGGCAAACCATCTGTGCTGCTGTGAAAATAAACAAACATCACAGTTGTACTTCAGCTCGAAGTATCCAATGTGGACAACATTTTAATCAATAATTTTAGCATTAAATTGGTAAAACAAGATCCATGATTTCAAAAAAGATCAATTGAGACAGTTGGTTATCATAAACAAGAGTCTATATAGGTAAGTATCTGGCTTCCAATATAACAGCACAGAGCTAGAAACCTGACAGGCAAAGGCATTACAATAACTTTACCAGTTCAGTCACCCATTGTCACTTTTAGTTGAACCATATCAAATATTTGATGTATGGAGTGCTCAGGAAGAGTTGATAGCTCTGATGTGGAGATGGGTTGTCCTTTGAATAATTTACCAACTTTGGTCTACACTGGATCAACTCTCACTTGTAGCTCCCACAAGTTGTCTGCATGCAGTAACAAGTCACACCACAGGCAAATATTTTGACAGGTGAGCTTAATTAGAATTAGCATCAACTTTATTTTCACCTGCACTCGTGCGTACAGTGAAAAGTTTACAAGTCACCACTTATGGCGCCATCTTAGGTACAAAGGTACCAAGGTACAGATTCTTCAGTCCAAATTCTTAGGGGGAAAAAATTAGAAAAATAACTAAAATGTCCAGCATTTCAGATTGCAAGAATAAATTAGAAAATCATTTCACTAAGATCCTCATATTATCTGACTTGTCAATTGTTTCCATAGGGAAAATATCTGGTGAGGTCCTCAATGCTGTCTGACTTTCCATTGCTCCATTTTCTAATGCAATTCTCCATGATAATGAGATACTAACATATACCCATAGGAATACCACACATACTCCTGAGGCGC